AGCAGTCAAGTGCCTTAGGCACTATGCTACCAGAGCTCCTAACTTGTTATTAGACATTCCACATTCACAGCAATAGTGAAAAAAATCTATTTTGTGCATTAATGATGTATATCTGGCATAACAAGTGCCAAGGTGCCCCACTCCGTTCTTACTGTGTGGTATTAAAAGATGTTAACTTGCTTTTCGAGATTTTCTGGTCCTCCACTTTCATCCTGACCTTTTCTTTCCCCGGTCTCTATTCTGCTCCATTTTGTTTCTATGCTCAACAATTTGTCCTTGGTGTGGGGCAGTTTCCTGAATGAAACCCTGGTAAGACAGTTTCAAGCGTTCTTACAGCTATATTGCTCCAGCTCCTTCAACCTTACAATAAGTCCCTTGTGCTCTATAATCTTAGAGAAGGCAAGAATTCCTTCTTAAATTTCAGCCGCTATTCTCAACTTGATCAGCTTAGTCTTCCAGTGAATACCTTTAGGCTATTTTGGAGTTCTCCACGTATCTTTGATTCTTTTTGCTGATATCACAAAGGTCTTGTGACTGCTATGAGTTTGTTCCTACTGGCTTTCATTTTGGAGATCACTGGGCCACCATTTCACTTAGATTTATTTTAAAAGTTGTACTTGGGGGTTGGATTTTGCTATTAATTGCTTTTTTTTTTTTTTTTGTATGCTTTGTGTGTGTGTGTGTGTGTGTGTGTGCATGAGCCTGAGAGAGAATATACATAGCAAAGAATACACCATTTCAACAAATTCCACATGTAAAACCCAGTGACATTGCTTACATTTTTCAAGTTATGTAACTGTTCTTGCTATCCTTTTCCAAATTATTCTACTACCATTATCATAAACTTATTGCCCCCTAAGCTTCTCTCTAAACTGAAATTTTGTTTCTATGTGGGGATTGAAAACTGTTCTACTGCTGCTGCCCTCTTTTCCCCCTCAAGAAGTTTTTTATTTTTTTTAAACTTAAATAGTAATCTTAAAAGACCATTAAGCTCAGGCAACAGCATAGTTTTGGAGACATTATGTATAACCACTTCTAACCTCTTTCATTGCTGCCACCATCACCTTCTTTTATCTAAACTATTATGATAGCTACTCCTTCCCTCCAACTAGTGCTTCAGCCACACTGGCTTCAAATACACTACACAGGTTCTCACCTCAGGCCATGTGCACAGTATATCCCCTCTGCCCAAAATGCTCTTCTTCCTGATTACACAGCTTGCTCTCTCACTCTCCATGATTTCTGCTCAAATGTCACCTTATCAGAAGTCTCTGACCACATACTCACAAATTAAAAAATGGAACTGTCAAACCTCTTCCATATTTTCTCTTTCTTCATCATACTTGTCAGCACCTGGCATTTTGTATGTTATTAAATATCTTTCTATCCAGAATGAAAACTACACGTAAGTAGCATCTCACTCTGTTTAATTTCTAGTTTCCTGAATAGTGCTTGCACAAAGTAAGCATTCAAGAGAAATTTGTTAACTGATTGAATGAGTAACTAAATGAATATGTAAAATAGCTGATGATATCTGTATTCAAGGTTAGCTTTTTCCTTCTCTTGACAGGAAAGAGGAGATCCTTACGAAATATCTCCCATGCTAGAAGAACTAGTAATGGAAGCAAAGGGGCGGTCATAAAAATAGGAGAATCAGGATAAAATAATGACATTAGAACCACAAAGGGGAGGTGATTAACTATGACAAACATACAGAGTAGTCAGGAGACTAGAATCTGGGAAGAAGGTATGTTGTTGTTGTTGTTGTTATGTGCCGTCGAGTCGACCCCGACTCATAGTGACCCCTCCTTGGGTTTCCGAGGCAGTATCACTACGGAAGTAGGATTGCCCAACCTTCCTTCCGAGGAGTGGCTGGTGGGTTTGAACCGCCAGCCGTCTGGTTAGCAGGCAAGTGCTTTAGCCACTATGCTACCAGAGGTATAAGACTAGATATATGAAATTTAGTGTTAGGTTGATAACAAATCTGGAAATCAGAGTTTTTCTGATTTTCAATTATATAGTCACATATTACAGAGTTATACATCCTAAGAAAAGTTGTACAGCAGAAACTAAATCACAAAATAATTAATTTCAGTATAAAGAAAACCTTATTGCTTGAAGAGTTTTTGTGGAAAAAATCCATTTAATGTAGGGAGTCACAGAATATTCACAAAAGCAAAAAATGCTTCTGCACAAAAGTGTTTTCTAACAATTTGTTTCCTGAGCAAGAGGAGTCATGTGTTACTCAAACAGGTTAACCAGAAAGATCAGTAAGATTTTGAATCCAGGATAAATTATTTCCAGAAAAAGGGCAATTCTCTTAAATCTTTTTAAAAAATATTCCCATTAGCAGCACTTGTTAGTATGACTGTGATTCGTATGCCTACAATGGAGGTTCCCTGTGAATAATAAATAATAAAATGCTAAATTGGGGCTTTAGTCTCAACTAAGAGAATCCCCAAAAGGTAACATTTCTAGCCCCTTTCTACCAAAGGCTGATCTGGTTCAGAAATACGGCGAAGAGTTAAGAAATTCTCTATGCTTGATAGGTTGAAACTAGCTTTTCTATTCAATTAATAGGCAAATTATTTGGTTTACAGCCTGGCGATTTATAGCCTAAGGAGCTTTGGTGGCCTAGTGCCTAAGGCATTTGACTGCTAACTAGAAGCCTGGTGGTTCAAACTCCTAGGAAGGTCAGACGACTGAGCAATCTACTTCCTTGGGGATACCTCCTTGGAAAGCCAAGGAGGGGTCATTATGAGTCCGAATGGACTCGTCTGCTGTGAGTGTGATTTTTTTTTTTTTTTGGATAGCCTGTTGAAGTGCTCCACACCAGCAGGGACTTAATCTCGCTGCAGATTTGATCTTTTATTTGCAATATTATTTACCAGTAATTTTACATGTGGGGAGCTCTGGTAGCATAGTGGCTAGGATGGGCAAGAAAAGGCAAGCAACAATCTTTTTTACACATCAATGTTTAATAAGGAGAGTAGAAATTTATTAACTAAAAGTGAAGAATTTGTGTTACCTGCCAATGTCCATAATCCCCACGACCACAGACCACACAAGTCTCAGCAGCCAGTGGCCAGCAATAAGTTCAGCAAGTAGAAGACATCCCTGTCTCAAAGTTCTACACAATGACAGCAGATGAGGTGATGGATAAAAATCTTCCCCAAGTGTGGACCATTAGAGGGAGAGGTTTCATATGAAATCGCGCTGAGAGTTTGATCCTGGTCACTCGTGGCTACAGTGGCCACCACTCCCACAACGGTGCCTCAACACCGTGCGCAAGGTGTGACTGGCTGTCAGGTACATCATAGGCCGTTTACATCCACCTGAACTCCTTCCCAAGACTTGAAAAAACACTGATTGCCGGAGCCAGTTGTCTAACGAACGGCAGCCAAGGTAACTGTCCCAGGAAAGGAGAGTATGCTGAGCAGTAGCGACAGAAAATGCTCTGTAACACGGTGCTTCGCTCGCTGCCTTCCGCGGTCCCCCTGTCCCCTGCGGGCCGCCGTAGGTCTCTGTGGGCCGCTTTGACTCCCGCGGGCCGCCGTAGGAGCGCCCTCCCCAGGCCGCGCTCTCAAGATGGCCACCGCGCTCTGGTTCTCCCGCTTCCCTCACTTAGGTCTCTGTAACGAGCGCACGGCTCAAGTCTTGCGTTCCAGCGCCTGAGCGGCCTAAAGGTCGGCAGCGTCCTGCCTTTGGTCCTGCGCTCGCCGTCTCTCGGGGCGGGGCGCCGGGCCCCATCCGGGGATGGGCCCCGGCGCTCGCGTCGGTTTGGTTTTGTTCCGGCTCCTCCCCGTTAGGGCGGGCGCTCCGCCGTGTCCCCGCCCGTCAGACCGCCCTGGCCAGCCCGGGCGCAGACGGGGCCTTAGCGGCCGCACAGGGAGCTCTAAACCGAGAGGCATCTGGAGGCGTCAGCGCTGCCGCTGTCCCGCGGCAAGTCCCGGGCTGCGTTGGGGCCGGGGCGAAAAATCGGTGGCACCATGTTCTCCCTCAAGCCGCCCAGACCTACCTTCAGGTCCTACCTCCTGCCGCCGCCCCAGGTAAACAACCTTTTCCCTGTGTGCGCCCTTTTCTTTGGCGCTTCCGGGGAGCCGCCGGGCGAGTGCCTATTTGGCACCCCTGGGAGAAAGCCCAGAGGCTGCGCCTGTCTCCCCACCCCCCAGCCGCGCGAGCGTCCGAGCCCCGGCCCGGAGAAATGCTCCCTCCTAGGAGCCGAAGTTGGCGCGGTGGAAACTTGTAAAACTCTGTCTTAGCTGTTCGCTGCCTGAAGTCCTTGTCGTCCGTAGTTGTGCATTGTGACGAGTTTCAGGAGAACGTTTGTAGCTGGGTTTAGCTCCCCGCCTGGCGACAGTCCACAGTGTGACTGCCAGCGTGATTGCAGCCCATTAGCAGTGCCTTGTGGCCACTTGGTAGAGGTTACCTGTACAAAAATGTGAACATCTGGAATCGGCACAGGCAGTTTTTATATTTTTATTGTCAGACTCCCAGGTAAATGAGCAGGACTTAAAAAGAGATCAGTAAATGTGAAAGAATTTAAAAGGGGGGGGATGAGTATGTCGCTTGTGTGAGCACTTAACAAAAATTTTGCCTTAATATCTGAAAAGGAAAAATTTGATTTTTATTTATTTTACTAATTTATTTCAGACTGATGAAAAGGTTAATTCGGAACCGAAGATTAAAAAACTGGAGCCAGTCCTTTTGCCAGGTAAACATTAGTTAGCCTTCTTCCAGATACTTTAGGAATGTGTTTTGTCTAAGATTGTTCTACTTACTAGAACATATGGTTAACTTTCCTCCTCTATTTGTTTTCAGCTTTCTCCAGTTAAAAGTCAAATGACTGGGGGAAAATAGAAGAAAACGTTGCTTAGAACTAAACAGCAACAAAAAATAAGTGACTTAGTGTTTATCCATGAATGTTTAAAGCATTACAGAAAATTGTCAGTAATATAACTGCTTTTTAATGACTTTTTTTTTTTTTTTTTGGCCTCTTGACATGTTTTATTTTAAAGGAAGCATATCTTTAATTGCTTAGGTAGTGGAAGTACTTTGTCCTTCATGTCTGTCTTCTACAACTTCATGCATTAATGACTAATAGTCATCATTTTAATGCATTTTAACAGTATGAAAAGCAGTCTTTATTATGTCTTTCTATATCACTAGCAAAGCTTGGTGAACTTTGAATTATTCATTTGGCAGTCATTTTCTAAAGTTGTCAGCTGTATTTGCAAATTTACTTGTTTCAGTTTAGAACAGGGTTTTCCCCAGCAATGGCACTGTTGGCATGTTGGGCCAGATAATTCTTTGTTGGAGTAGGGGAATTGTCCTGTACATTGTAGGATGTTAAACAGCATGTCTGACTCTACCAGCTAAATGCACCTTCCTTCTGCCAGGTATAGCAACCAGAAATGTCTCCAGGCATTGCCAAATGTCCTCTAGGGGGCAAAATTCCTGGTTGAGAATGACTGCTTTAGAACAAAATTTGTCTTAGCGGTAGAGATAATGATTGGTGGTAGACAGAAGTTCAGTTTTAGGACATACAGAATATAGTTCCTTGTATAACAATTAGGGAAACTCAATTTTTTAATATGATCATTGGGGGAAAGTATCCAGATACTTAGAAAAAATTGTTTTAAACCTGAAATATAATCATATACCATCTTAAGGCTGCTGTTAACATTTAAAATTCAGAGTTACTACTCAATGCTAAATTTAGGAATGGTTAGAACTTTGTAGGTAGTAATTGAAAATATTTGGAAATTTTAAAATTTGTGTTTTAAATTTTTAAGTGTAGGGACAAACACATTAAAAGCATTAAACAGTGGTTCCATATTGTAGATACTAACTCTTAAAAATATCTTAACTCTATTATGGGAGTTAGTTATAAATATTTTCCCTTGATTTTGTCAGTACTTTTCACTCAAACAGTGTGTACCCATTAACCTTTTGTACTTCTGCTCAGAGTGGCAATAGAATTTAACGGTAACCCTTGTATCCTATGTGGCCTGTTTCCATCTTAGTTACTCCAGGCATTTAAAGACAATTAAGGGAAACAGTGCTCATCTTGAATGATTGCTCGTGAGCTATTGAACTTTGGCTCCCTTTACTTTGTCTGAACAGGCTGGCTTCTTAGGCTTTGATTCCCCCCCCCCCCATAATATGATTTGACACTAATAAACAACATGATTTTAGCTACAAACGATAGTGCTTGAGTTTTTTGAAAATTAGCTTTAATATTTAAGATATGCTTATAAATAGTGTTACTAAATATTAATTAGCTTAAAGAACTATTCCACTGAAGGGCTGTCCCTTCTGTGGAATTGCTAAAAAGTCGTAATTTTCTGGGGAAGATTTTAAACCCAGTTGCTGACCATAATTGCTTTACTTGTCCTAGAAATAGCAGCTAAATCTCTTATCTTTTTTTAGCTGCCCATTAAGCAATTCTCTGACCTGTATTAATTTTTCTTGCATTGAATTACACATCACAGCTAAAATCTACGTATACATACACGATTGTTCTGTCACCCAGTGTTTTCACTTTATTCCTTGCAGAACATTTCACTAGTCCTAAGTTATCATGTCTTTTGCTCTCCTTTCTGAGCACCCCTTCTGTTCTTACCTTCTAATCCTAGTCCACACGTTCTTCCTGGTTGTGTTTTGTTGTCTGGCCACTCTGTTGTAATCTCTTTTCCCTGCTTCCACTTTTCATGTCTCATCTGACTGCTATTAGAGCCTCTTCTCTGTTGCTCTTTCTTTGGGTGGGCAGCTTACTATTATACCCATGAAATGTGGAAGGCATATGGAAAGTATCGGAGGCATTGGTGATCTAAAGACCTAGGCTTGTTGTTGTTGTTGTTGTTGTTATGTGCCGTCGAGTCGGCCCCGACTCATAGCGAGTCGGCCCCGACTCATAGCGACCCCTCCTTGGGTTTCCGAGGCAGTATCACTACGGAAGTAGGATTGCCCAACCTTCCTTCCGAGGAGTGGCTGGTGGGTTTGAACCGCCAGCCATCTGGTTAGCAGGCAAGTGTCTTAGCCACTATGCTACCAGAGCTCCCAAAGACCTAGGCTAGGCTAGAGCTTTTATTAAGAGGACTTGAATAATACAGTTCTTTCCTTCATCACAGTCAGAAACCAAGAGGAAAGTTGAACAGGTCACCTATGTCTTTACATAGGAACACAGGACAAGAAGTAATTGTTCAGGAATACAGTATTGCATGTTACGTTTTGGCATAATACCTTGGGCTCAAGGATATCCTAATTCAGTTGCCCAGACTTTGGACTGTTAATTCAATAAGGAGGTGAAAATTAGAACACCTGTCAATTGTTTATTTGTGTGGTGGTGTTGTATTTGTGTGTAGTTACCATGTACTCAATTGGGACTTAACATGGCTAAATTAAAACTAATTTTCATCTTTTGTTATATGAAGACAATGACTAGTGATTTAATTTAGGTTGTAGTTTATGTTATTAGTTTTCAACTTCCCTGGTTCATAACATGCCTTGAGATATAAATTTTATCTATTTAACTTTATGGTCCCAGTGTCTAGCATAGTGTCTGAAGCATGATAGATGCCATGATGTTTATTATTATTAAAAAAGGACCTCTCAAACTACTTGCTTAAACTGTTAACATAGCCACATGCACACACACCCCACCCAATACCCAGATTCAGTAGCAAGAGGAACACTGTTATTTTGTACCCTGTATCTCTGCTCTTCTTAGAGCCACACTTCTCAAAAGAATTATATCAGAGCCTGGAATTGAAATACAGTATTCTTCCTTGGGTAGTGTAAGCAGTTAATGTGCTGGGCTTTAGTCAGAAAGTTGAAAGTTCATATCTACCCACAGGTACGTTGGAAGGAAAGCCTGGCCATCTGCTTCTGAAAAAATCAGTCATTGAAAAGTCTATCAAGCACAGTACTACTCTGACACATATGAAGTCACCTTGAGTCAAAACTGACTTGATAGCAACTGGTTTTTGTCAAAGCACCTAGCCTGTGCCAAAGTTTTCTGTCCATCTTCCTTGTTATTTGCTGTTACTTGCTGTCGAGTCAGACCTGACTCATAGCGACCCCACCTTGGGTTTCCAAGGCAGTATCACTACGGAAGTAGATTGCCCCATTTTCCTTCCGAGGAGTGGCTGATGCGTTTGAACTGCCAGCCTTCTGGTTAGCAATCAAGTGCCTTAGGCACTAAGCTACCAGAGCTCCATCTTCCTATCATTGTACAAGTCTTGTCCTTTAATGATTGTATTGCCCCAATGCTTTTTGAAAGTAGGGAGAGTGTAAATTTTAAAGGGTATATGTGTGTTCCAGAATACATTTTTTGAGAACAAATAATGCCAGACCATTCTCGTGTCTATTTTTGATAGCTCTTGGATTGGTAATCAGTTCACTGTGCGTGTGAATGCCTCCTGGGTAATTAGGCTGTACTAAGCAGGAGAGTATTGGAGGCTTATGTACCTGGTTCACAGCAAAGGCTGGTGTAAGCTAGAAGCTGAGTGTGGGTAAGGGAGAAGAAGGTGACCTGAGTTGTTATACTCAATGCTAAATTTAGGGATGGTTAGAACTTCGTAGGTGGTAATTGAAACAATGGTTCCCCAATTTCAACAAGGTCCTGGCATCAGATCTGGATGAAGTTTTTACCAGTCCTTGGTCAAAATGGTGGGAAAAGGGTACTGTCAATCTGTTCTCGTAAAGATTATAGCTTTGGAAACAACTATGGGGCAATTCTACTCTGTCCTGTAGGGTCACTGTGAATTGGAATCAATTTAATGGCAGTGGAGTTTTTTGTTTGTTTTAGCCAAAATGAGAAAATTGGGAAGAATGCTGCTTTTTCATGAAGTTAAATTTATTTCATTCAAAGGATTGTCCTTTATTCTAAGATTATGCCCGCCCTTCCTACTTCTTTGGTGTAAATTTATTCTTTTGTTAAATTATGGTAATAGTAGAGATGGCCTTAATTTTTTTTTTTTTTTTTAAGCTGGCAAAATAAAAGATTGGGAACTCTGTATTACTGTCCTGAATTATTTTTGGTAGTATACCTAGTTTGTAAAATATAAACTGAAAGCTACTGGATGACGTTCTTATAAATATAATTTAATGACACACACGTACACAGAATATCAATTATTTTATCTGCCCAGGAGTCCTTCCAGCATCTTCTAAAAGAATGTACCCTCCTTCTTTTGACAAGTGGGTTTCCTCCATCTTCTCCCAGAGTCAGGTTCTAGTGTGCCCAAAAAGCATAACAACTCACCCCAGGCTGTAAGCATGAGCACTGTCTTTCTGTGGATATTTTCAGATTAGAACAAAGGCAACAGATCCTTTTTCAGTAAATGCTACTAGTGGCCATAAGTCCATTGCCACTGAGTCGATTGCAACCCATGGTGACCATTTAGGACAGAATAGAACTGCCCCATAGGATTTCCAAGACTTAAATCTTTATGGAAGCACATCTTTTTCTTGCAGAGCAGCTGGTGGTTCAAATTGCTAACTTTTTGGTTAGTAGCTGAATGCTTTAACTACTACACCACCAGCGTTCCCTTACCAGTGGCCGTAGCTCCAGAAAACCTGTCCTAAAGAGTGAAGTCACTGTTGAGAGAGACAGAAGCAACACACCTGAGGGAGTGCTTGGATGATGTTCGAGTTTCTAGGTTCCATTTTCCTTGAGGTTCAGCTAACACAAAAGCCACAAAATACCGC